CGATGGCGCTGAGCCAGTCCATCAGGTCAGCCTGCAAAGAGCGCGGAGACGCCAGCGTGAGCACCGAGGGACAGGTCGCACTTTCATCCACTCCGTCCCTGACTGGGAGACCTTTTTTGGCTCTTCTTGGGGTCTGTCTGGGCACACTGAGCCATTTGCTTACAGACCTCCATCCTGTCCTGTCCCAGAGCAGGGGCAGCTCCAAGGAAAAGCCTGGGGAGAAGAGAGTGCTGCACCATGGCCCCGGGTCCAGCCACTCACCGGGATGTAGCTGGGCAGCCACTCGGCGATGCTGAGCTGCCCGATCTCAGTGGAGATCTTCTTCCTGTGTCCCGGTTTGGTGACACCGATGGCCGTGAGGTCCTAGTGCAAACAGAGTGGAGCTCGGTGAGCGGCAGCAACGCGGGACAGTGCGTACCTGCTGCTGGTGGCCCCGTGGGGGCGCGGGCTGTGCGGGGTTGGGGGGCTGTCTCACCTCGGGAGTCATGCGGCTGATGGTGGGGACGTCGTAGCCGGCGTTGAGGAAGTTGGCAGTGTAAGACTCCAGCTGGAACTCCCGCAGCCAGTTGTAAATGGCTTCTGCGTCCTGCAGGAAGGACAGAGCAAAGTCACTGGTGACAAGGGCTGCAGGGGCAGGAAGGAGCTTTGTGCAGGATGACAGTCCCTGCTTGTGTAACATCCCCTTGTCCCCGTCATCCCCAAGACCCAGTCCCCCATGTGCCCAGTGCAGTGAGAGCCAGGCACGTCCACATGGTCTCTTCTGCCCCAACATGACAGGCCCTGCCAGGAGAAACGTCCCCTCCCCAGTCATGTCCCCAGTTACCTTCCCCTCGAGGAGCTGCTCAGGGCGCAGGAACTGGTGGGAGAAAACCTTGTCTCCAGGGGGGCAGCTGCCAGGGCTCTGGTGCCCCAGTGGCCCTGGGCGGAAGGGAGAGAGGAGTGTTGGGGGTGGTGGTGCCACATGGAGCCCAGGGCAGCCCTGCGCTGGCGGGGGCCGATGTCCCGCAGCGCCGGGGCAGCAGGATGTCCCTCACCTGCCGTGGAGCCGAGCTGCCCGTTGCGGGGCTCCGATCCCACGAGCTGCTGCTGGAGGTCATCGCTGGCGGAGGGCAGCGGCTGCGGGACAGGGGAGGCAAGTGGAGGAGGGATTCCCACCTCAGGGGTGCCAGGTCTGACTTGCACCCATCTCTGGGAGGGAGAAGGGGAGGTCCCCACCCTGGGCAAGGTTTAAGCTCTGGGACTTGTCAAAAGAGATCTGTGGGACTCAACGTGGAGAGCAGGATGGCAGAAAATGGGGGACCAGCACCTACCCTGGCATTCTCGATGAGGATGCTGGTGCTCTGCCCGTTGGTGCCCTCGGTGCTCTGGCCGCTGCCGGCGCTGCGGATGCTGCCGATGCCTCGCTGCCCACGCTGTTCCTGTCTCCTGCTGTTTGGGGTAGGAACAGGGCATGTCAGCCAGGCAGCCCTCCTGGGACCCACATGCAGAGCACCGCAAGGCACAAAGGTCCCTCCTGCTTCACCGTGTGGCTGTGGCCTTGGTGGCCTGCGTGGGGACAGGGCCGGTGTCGGCCAACTCGGGGGCACCGGCAAAGATCAATGTCACCCGAGAGCCCTCCGGCCACCAAGGATCCATCAGCACCTCCCACCGCCCAGCGCACGTGACATGGATGGGACAACCTGGGAGCTGGCAGAGCTGCAGGAGGGGCAGTGGGGACTCAGCTGGGCCGAGGACGCGGGGCAGGAAGGGGGCTGCTCTGCGGGCTCCCCTAAGCTCCCCTTCCCTGCGGCTGCTCCCGTCTCCCGTGGCTCCTTCCCTGCTGCGAGCCGGAAAGCCC